AACTTTCAGTCAGAGGAAAAAATGTCGCAAAACAAGTAATAAAAACATTTTTAAACGTAAAATGATGTAGGAATGGCAGTGCCAAAAAGAATGCATACAAGAATATAGAGATGATACAGCTATACGTAAATCATCCCTACATGACTTTCAATATTAAAATTTAATGTTACACTGTAAGATGTTAAGCCAACCAAATCTCATTTTGTGATGTAAGTATAATAAGAATGATTTTGTACAATGTTAAGACGGGAGTCACTCAGCCTAAAACCATTGTACTGTTGAATCTTTCAGAGTGTTCGAAACTGTATTAGTTTTGATTATGAACTTTCTGGTGTTCTTTATTGTGTCTCGATCTTTCGTTCTGATATCTAGTGCTTAACATAAAGACTAAGTTGAGCAGCAAACACACATACTCACACACATAATTATATATATAACATATATGTGAGAATTTTTTATTTGAAGTAAAAATAATAATAAAATACTGTTTTTATAACCAGAATTCTGGAATTAGTTAGATATAATCCTTTTTTATAGTATTATCAGGAATAACTTAAAATGTTGTTCAATCATACGCTCCAAAAAACTACAGTTTTGTTGTTTTTTCATCATAAATCATGAATATAATATGAAAGCTATTGTATGAAAGACAGCCATCTCCGAAATTGTTAGGTGACAGAAGATACATTGTCATTTACTTACTCAGTTCTAGTTGTTAATTGATTGTAGTTTAACGGGCCCGTTATATAGACAATATACTCATATTACGGAAATAAAAGTAATTAAGTTGGTAGGACTAAAACAGATTATACACATCATTACTCTTACTTGCAAATCATTTTACATTAATTACAAAAACGTTAGCCATAGTTACGTAATCCTTAGATTAATTTCGCTGTAACTGCATTTGTTTGTTATTCGTGTTACGTAACGTAACTTCCTTACATTAACTTTGCTATATATAACTTTTGAGACTTTCCCGTAGCGAAGGCTAAAACCAAACAAACAAACATGACCTCACAGCTATCGATATACCATCAGGGTCACTTTCACACGTTCTTCCAGAGTTAACAAGATCAAAACCAATCTTGGAACCCAAAAATAGACAGTTAGTAAAGCATAACAACAACATAGAAAGGATGGTATTTAAGACTATATTGTGGTGCACGATTTTTGCATCGCTCTGTATTCACCAACCACTGTAAAAATGGTCATGTATAACTTCCAACTGATCACATGCCGTTCCATATTTTAACAAGGTTCCCGCGAAAAAATAATGCTGGCACAGGATTTTTGCGCAAAGCTACACAAGGGCTATTCGCTCATAGCCATCCATAACTTTGAACTTATAGATTAGAGGGAAGACAGTTCATCAACAGCCCGCACCGTCAGCTCTTGGTTTACTCATGTCTGACCAACAAGTCTGATTTGAGCATTACTCTTACGGTGTACTCACAGCCTCAAAGTGCGGAGTGAATTTTTGTGGCAAATTTGGAACCTCCTGATTCATAGTCTGTGATCGCTAACGCTGTACTACGGCCGGTTGTGTTTGTTTGTTTTGAATTTCGCGCAAAGTACACACACCGTACACTACAATAATAGGTATGTCAAACTTAGAAATAACCACACATCGTACACTACAATAATGGGTTTGTTTGTTTGTTACGGATTCCGCGCAAAGCTACACGAGGGCTATCTGCGCTAGCCGTCCCTAATTTAGCAAGAAAGGCAGCTAGTCCCACCGCCAACTCTTGGGCTACTCTTTTACCAACGAATAGTGGGATTGATTATAACGCCCACACGGCTGAAAGGGCGAGCATGTTTGGTGGGACGGGGATTCGAATTCGCGACCCGCAGATTGCGAGTAGAGCTCCCTAACAACCTGGCCATGGGCCGGTTCTTTAAGTACGAAACTTGGATAGTACAATGTTGCACAGCATTTGCGTCACCCTGTAGTATTGTTTAACATATAACAAAACAATTAGTTGACATATACCTATATTAGTCTTACAAGTAATCGAACTTTAATTAGCCAAACAAATTCTTTTCCGTTACTTTTTTATCTCCCATTCTGAGCCCTAAAATTTTAGCAAATTTAATCACACTTTCTAATAACGATGCTCCTGGATCAATGCTTCCATTAAAGCTAGTTCCTGTGTTGTCAATCATGATCACTTTAATGGCCATGATTGCGTAGTTTTGCTGTCAACACATTTTCCATTGTAAAAAGACGTCAACGAATGAGCGAGGTCAGTCTTGAGCAACACATCCGGACAAACTTTACACAAACTCTACTCTTCCTTGACGGCAATTTTGAAACCACGTTTGCTCGCTTGCTATATTGCCTTGTCTGTTGCAGACACTTGTGATCATGACCCTTCATATACTTCTATCTCTAGTAGCCTGTAGAAGGTCTATTTCGTATTTCTGTATTCTATCCAGTTACTGGTGTTATTTATGACCACGTTTAAGCATACCAAAGACACATAGTGGCCCCAATGGCACAGCGGCATGTCTGCGGACTTACAATGCTAGAAACCGGGTTTTCGATACCCGTGATGGGCAGAGTACAGATAGCACACTGTGTAGCTTTATGCTTAATTACAAACAAACAAACAAAGACAAAGGTGTATCGGAGAAATTGACAGAAGTGTGTCTTTATTTATCACTTTATAAAGCTACTGATTAGTTTGAAGCGTGGTTTCAGAGCCCGTTGCTGTCCTAAACGCTCTACTGTACGAGTCTATCCCTTTCCATTGGAACATTAAAACTTCTTTCTTCGAAATATAGTGTCTGTGGCGGCCTTGTGATGTCGAATGTTTGAGAATTCACCGTGAACCTAGTATGCTAAACATGTCACCCATGGCGCCACGGCTCGTATCTGCGATTACACGTCACAGTACTAGTACTATACAAATCGTTCATATAGAACGCCAATAACCCTCTCTGTTACATTGAAAGAAACTTTATAGGTCACTTGGTGCGAAGAGGATTAAGTAATTAAATAACTAATTACATTAAATTGTCAATGACATGTAATAAAACAAGGTGAATTTTATTCATTTTTAGACTCTCGTTTACTTCGCATATAAATCATTTATAAACTTAAATGATCAGAGAAGTTAAATTAATATTAAATAAATATTCACGTTATTTACTAAAACTAACTCAGTTACAAGTCCCGCTGGAATGTCTGGATATGTTGATTTCTTAAATAAGCACATTCGCTGAGACATTAGAGACATTAAATATCTCTGGGCTCAAAGGATTATATAAATAGTTATTTCTTTGTTTTTGTCATCAATTTATAAACCAAAATGTATGTGAAATTCAATAAGAAAAACACAACAGTTATAGTATCCAATTAAAAAATGTAACTTAGAAACGACTTTGTAATAAAATTTTGAAACATGATATAATTAAATTTTAGTAAAAACATATCAACAAATATACATATATATGATTTAATTGTGTTTTCTTGAAGCATATCTGAGTAATTTAAAAGATCAACAAATATACATATATATATGATTTAATTGTGTTTTCTTGAAGCATATCTGAGTAATTTAAAAGATCAACAAATATACATATATATGATTTAATTGTGTTTTCTTGAAGCATATCTGAGTAATTTAGAAGATCTAGAAGCTTATTTCATTCCAGAAAAACAATAATACAGCTATTCTATTGTAATTGCAATGATCTTACTCAACTGACATTTGTAAATGATGTATAAACATATTTTCGTAATTACTTTTTCACCAAACGAAACACATTTCTCAAAACATAGCCGAATATTCTTGTTCTTATCTTAACTGTGTTTTTATATTTTACTTGTTGTAATTGTATTGTATTTATATGTTATTGCTATACTGAAAGGTATATTGAAATGTTATTATTAGCTCACGGGTACGTTTTTGGTAGTGTTTTAGTATTTGTGTATAAGCTCTTGTTATATTTTGGATGTTGATATTTATATTATATTGCAACGGTCTTATTAGACCTTGTACTAGGTTGATACGTTTTTATTATACTGTGTATTATATTGCTACGTTGTTATTAGACCTTGTACTAGGTAGATACGTTTTTATTATACTGTGTATTATATTGCTACGTTCTTATTATACCGTGTACTATGTTGATACGTTCTTATTATACTGTGTTTTACGGTGATACAGCCTCATTACAATGTATAATACAAATATACACTCTTTTTTTCGATTATGTTGATACTTTCTTATTACTCGGTGTGTTATATTGGTTCATTATTGTAACAGTGTGGTATAGTATTATCACTGTGTAGTGCGTAGCATTCCCTTCTCACTGTGTGTAATGTACATGTTCTTTTCACTGTATAGTTTGAAACATTCTCTTCTTTGTGTGCAGTATGTTTCATGTTTCCTGTTAATGCGTAATATGTAGTATGTGTGCTTTTTCAGTATAGTTTATAGCATGCTCTTCTTGCTGTTTGTGATATGCTGATAAGTTATTATTTACTTCTAAAACATGTATCACGTTTTGATGACTTACAATAGTTTGATTCAGGCGTAATCCAAACCTTGTGGTTTTCCTCATGACCTTGCTAGTGCGATGACACATAGGCGGGAAAGGTTTGTTTGTTTGTTTGTAATTAAGCACAAAGCTACACAATGGGCTATCTGTGCTCTACCCACCACGGGTATTGAAAGCCGGGTTCTAGCGTTGTTAAGTCCGCAGACATGCCGCTGTGCCACTCATCCTACAAGTTCTGCTTCAATAGATAAGTCAATCGCAAACACTTAGTAAATTTGTGTGCAATTTTTAAGTGTAGTCTTTAATGAAAAGTTAGAAAAATTTAGTTTAACTAAATAATTAATACGTTTAAATTACTACAGTATTATTTGAAAATATAACACGAGGCTTAGTAAATCTCAGTCTCTTTAATCAAACGTATTTTGGATAGTAATTAATTACTTGACAATGACGCTTATATTTATCTTACATTAATTGATTGTTTTTTCTTTAGATTATTTCAAGAAAACGGAGATTTAATCACCTTATTTGAAAAGTTCCAGTACCTTCGAACACAGGAGTCACAACTGGAGAGTCTGGAGTTGGCCCAACACGCATCCATCGTCATGGCAACACTGGATGAAGGAATACGTTCCTTGGATAAAGTTGACTATTTCATTGACTATCTTCATTCTGTGGGAAAGCTGCATACGAAGATTTCAGGATTCAAAAAGGAAAACTTTTGGGTAGCGTGTTTAGTTCAGTTGATCAAATATACATTGTAGATATGTGGATTTAGTTTATGTATACAAAACTAAACGTATAATTCGTTCCTTTCTTGGACAAAAGGTTTATCTCTAACAATGTTTAGTTCTTTTATTACATCTGTTCACAGAAACAAGATACACAATGTAGTTCATTTAAAGAAATGGAAACTTTCGTTATCAATCATCAAAACTTATCATCATATAAACTAAATCGATCAAATATCGCAGGCTTGCAATATCTAAAACTCCTGAATGATTGGAACATGCTCAACATGTAGAATATTTAAGAACACAATATAAATGTTTTTGAAATATTAATCCGGTACAAAATAATATCTCTCTAGAACACGTGTAGCTAATGACTTTAATTTTGAATTTAAAAGTTTAAGAAATTGCAAACTACACTTTTAATAACTGTCAGTATCAGAAGCTGGTAATCATAGATTTATAATTTTATCTAATTATAAGTGGGTAACCAAAGGTTTTTCTCTCCCAGAAATATCGTGTAGAATCATTTAAATTTTTTTTTAAATTCTTATTGTGTAAAGTAAAGGTTGTTTTGTCTATATTTTAATATGATATTTTAAAGAAACTGTCATTATTGTCCGTTATTCATCACCAGTGATAGTAGAACTGAACTTTTGAGAAAATAAAACCTCGTAGAAGGTGGGTAAAATGTTCTTTTAACCACAGTAATCCATAAAATCTCTTTAGACTCCATTATAAATTCTACAAAAGAAAAATCCTATAATCCACTCAAAAGCACATTTTATATTTAGTTAGTAAACTTCTATTTTTTCTAAATGTCACGAGATAACCTTTGTTTGTTTGTTTTTTGAATTTCGCGCAAAGCTACACGAGGGCTATCTGCGCTAGCCGTCCCTAATTTAGCAGTGTAAGACTAGAAGTAATGCAGCTAGTCATCACCACCCACCGCCAACTCTTGGGCTACTCTTTTACCAACGAATAGTGGGATTGACCGTCACGTTATAACGCCCCCACGGCTGAAAGGGCGAGCATGTTTGGTGTGAGAGGGATTCGAACCCGCGACCCTCAGATTGCGAGTCGATTGCCTTATCCACCTGGCCATGCCGGGCCACGAGAAAAGCAAGTTGAAAATATAATTTCAAAATATTTTTCTTTTGGTCAGCACTTCTTAATTGAAAATGAAGAAAAAACAATTAAAGTATACAAAAAGTCCAACTGAGAATTTTCGTCAAGTCAGAGAGAAGGGAGATTGTATAGATAGCTGTTACACAAATCGAGTACCCGATATCTGACTTTCCATGTTGTGCTATTTCCATTTAAATTATTTAAATTGTGTATTGTCAAAAATTGATTATTCAATTTACAAGCATCTTAGTAGTTTTCATTTACAAGACTTAATTTTTTCTGAAATATAAGGGAGCTTAGTCACAATCGAATAGACATCATAACACTTACCTATTGAAAGACGATTTACAAACCTTACAAAAATAGGCCTGCCAAATGTGTATACTTTTAATGTGTAGAACATTCATTTCTTAAAAGATCGATGTCGATTTTAGTACGTTAAACATAGAAATTTATCATGTTTTTTATATAAACTAGCTGCGAGTACCCGTTCAAAAAATACAGACTGTGTCAACGAGAAAACTAGATAATGTTCCCCTTCTTCCTTTCCTTTGTTATTAGATCTCTAATGACCTCATTAGATGCTAATTGCATATCCTGCTTTATGGAATGCAATAATTTACTTATTCAACTGATTAAGCAATTGTGACTTTAAATTCAAAATTAAATTTAAATTCCACTTCTCGGGAAAAAATCCTAAAACAAGATAAGCCATGTACACCTTCGGACAGTTTTTCAGTTACCATATAAAAAATTACTAAATGAGCTAGTCAACTCTGGGTAATGGATGGTAACACATATACATGCAGCCAGATACACATAGTCAACTCTGGGTAATGGATGGTAATACATATACATGCAGCAGATACACATAGTCAACTCTGGATAATGGATGGTAACACATATACATGCAGGTACACACATAGTCAACTCTGGGTAATGGATGGTAACACATATACATGCAGATACGCACATAGTCAACTCTGGGTAATGGATGGTAATACATATACATGCAGATACACACATAGTCAATTTGGGGTAATGGATGGTAACACATATACATGCAGGTACACACATAGTCAACTCTGGGTAATGGATGGTAATACATATACATGCATACACACACATAGTCAACTCTGGGTAATGAATGGTAACATATATACATGCAGATACACACATAGTCAACTCTGGGTAATGAATGGTAACACATATACATGCAGCAGATACACATAGTCAACTCTGGGTAATGGATGGTAACACATATACATGCAGCAGATACACATAGTCAACTCTGGGTAATGGATGGTAACACATATACATGCAGATACACACATAGTCAACTCTGGGTAATGGATGGTAACACATATACATGCAGCAGATACACATAGTCAACTCTGGGTAATGGATGGTAATACATATACATGCAGATACACACATAGTCAACTCTGGGTAATGGATGGTAACACATATACATGCAGATACACACATAGTCAACTCTGGGTAATGGATGGTAACACATATACATGCAGATACACACATACATGCACATAATGGATCATCTTTATAGTAAGATGAAATATTTTCTTTTCTTGAAGAAATGATGTTTTGATCTCTAAATTGTTTAGAAAATTAAAGATAATAACAAAAGTATATGTTTAAAGTTCTGTTCTTTATAAGACACTTCTGCTTTCAGAGAATCGAAGAGCCATTCCTTGCAGCTGTTAAAGAGACTTTAGGAGACCGCTACACTGAAAATATGGAGAATATTTATAAAATTACCATACGTTTTATCCTGGAGACATTGACCAAAGGCTTTGAACTGGCTGAAGAAGACAACGAGAAAGACAATGTACTGCCGAATAGTATTTAATGGTCAAAAGAAAAACAATATTTTGTAAATTTACAGTTGCTGACGATTTTGTTTTATCTATAAACACCCGTCCGCGATCATTTGGAAATAATACAAAGATCAGAGCCAAGTTTGATAAATACCTTGACTTTGGTGGAAAGTTGCCAGAATATTATGTTTCAAGAAAAAACGATAGGTGGAATATTCTTGTCACAAGACAAGAAGAAATTCCGTGAACAGTGCTCTCTGACGAGGTCATCAATATATTTACTTTATTTGACCTTCAATAAATGACCTGCGTTTTGCGAGGTTAAGGTATATGACTATAGATTCTTTGGAACCAAAAAACAGAAATATTTTTCTTTGGCGAAACGAAAACCATCATCATCCTAACTCTTGCTGCCAATGTGACACAGCTTTTCATCAACTGTCTTGTTTTGTGCTGTATCAGATATTCGTGTACATTAATATTTTGGTGTGTCTTGTTCGAGATCTATGTGGAAAATTCACCGCGTATATTTGGTTGCAAATACTAGGTTTAACTAACACTTATAACTATTGTTTCGATTAACTGAAAAGTGACACTCTACCTTAGTTAAAGTATATCATACACTAAACTCACCGATGCTAAAAAGACACAATTCTGTCACAAGTTTTAGCAGAGTGTTTCAAAATATACAAAGTTTAAAATGCAGCGCTACCATTTAAATTTAGTGACACTAAAACAAAACGTTTTTTAATAACGTTTAGATTGACTGTCATGTAGGTGAAGATCTATATAAAAAAGTCGTGATAATAATAAATTTGTCAGAAACCTAAATCTATATATTATTTTAGAATATTTAGAACATATGATTATTTTTCTAAAGAGGGTCTTAGATTTCTAGTTTTCTGAAACAATATCTTTTTTAAACTAAAATCTTATCATATATAAATGTACACTCACATCTTCAGTAATGTCTGATGCTCCCTAGCAACTAAACTTCAATGTATAATCATCATTTTCTGCTTTCCATAGTGTCTTTTACCATGACTACTGAAACTAGAAATTGTTTTCTAGCTTCTCCGTTAATAGTTTCAAAGAAAACCGAACTTTCCTGTCTTATGATAAGTGAAAAATCGTTTGAAAAAGTTATTTTTCATGACACTAGTCCTCATTATTTAACTGAAGTTATTTTTTAACAAACCGTCGTTGTTCATAAAATTCTGCTTCTCTGAGTCTTAACTATTCAATATAACCTTGCATTTAGATTCTAAACTGTATCAGTAAAATATTACCACAAGCAAACATTGTTTATCATTAATTAATGTTGTTCTACAAGACGTGAAAAGAAAACTTGGATAAAAGATAACAAAGAATAAACTGACACATCTAAATGAAGACATTTTATAGTTTTAATTTTGGCAACGAAGTGTGTCTGCCCGAAACGTTGCACAAAATAAAACTATGAAAAGTTTTCATTTCGGTGTGTCAGCTTATTATTTGTTATATTTTATCCAAGTTGTTCATCGTAACCTATACAGTAAGACGATTTTCCTATTGTTTGATGTGACAAGATGTTTCTTTCTATGCTAACCAATGTGATTATTGAAATGGATAACAATGTTCTATGTAGGCCTGGAAATACATTTTATATACAGGGTGGAAAAAAGCAACTACCCACCTGTTTTATTTACAATATAGTTTAATATTTAATAGTTCTACTATTTTCCTACGATATTTGTCTTGATTGATGTCATAAAAATGGTTTTTGATGTCCATTGATAGCTTCCTCATGTTTGCGATGACATACTGACTAATTTTGTTTTCTTGATTGACATAGTTCAATAGTACCTTAACTTACAGAACTAAACCATTTGACATTGAGAAGGCCTGAGCTACACAAAAATTATATATGTCATTCAAGAATTGCACTTTTGTTGAGTTTGTGTAATAATAAAGATAAGTAAGTTTATCTGTTAAGTCTAATATCATCAATAGTTTATAAATGACAGTTTTTTTTAAGCTAAACATATTACTCTTATACAGCTCGTCGGAAATAGTGTTGTTCGTAGGGAAAAAGTGTAACTGTAATCTGTAATGTGAAGCCAGAGTCTTGTCACCACAGAATAGAATAATTGTTCTTAACTTGAGAAAATATATTCTCTATTAATCTACATTCGGTATTCACATTGAAGTGTCTATTCTCTCAAATCCTTGGTAAACAAAAAACTTAGATTGAGTAGAAATTTCATATTTCATTCTACGGTAAATCTAATGACAAGTTTCAATGAACAATGTTTGGAAATGAAGTAGGCTAACCATTTCTCCTATGAAATCATCTACATCCATATTTCAAGTTATTGTTTGACACCGTGCGCGTGAGGTAATATATTTTTCACATCCTATCTCTTTGTTATTCGTTAAGTGTTTCCTGTTAATTGTTACGTAGAACATGATAAATTCATGTGGGTGCGCGCTTTATAAATAGTATCTTTAAAAATTTCAAGCAAAAATATTTGAAAAAATGACTATATTTTGTGTTGAAAGGATAGCGTTCAGAACATGACACATAGTCAGCACTTCGTACAAAAAAACGTAGAAATCTGGATCCTTTGACTAGCCTCACTTTTTGGAAAGTGTACGTATTACTTACGTGAAATAAAATCGAGCTTTTGTGTTTATTTCAAACATAAAAGTTGGTAGTGATCTCATTGCTTTCTGCGTAAAGTAGATATTGTAAATGAATAATCACCCTATTTCAACATAAGACAACGAGTACTTCAACAACAACAATGGATGATATATTCAAACTCAATGTCAACTTAACAACAGTAACTTCAACATCAATAACAGAAAATCTATACTCAAACCTAATTTCAACTTAACAAAATGGTAATTTCAACATCAATGATAGAAAATGTGTATTCAAACTCAAGTTCAATGCTGTATGGATGAACTTTGTTGTAATTCAATCACTGCTGTTTGCGTGATTTTTTTTTCGTAACAGTTTAGTTCCAGCAAGGTGGTATAAAAATGTTCAACATCTAAATTTAAACAAGACATGGTATAAATATTAATTATTACTGATTAACAAGAAATCCAGCTTCATGTAGAACAAAAGGACAGAAAATTAATAATAAAATTATTACCATAAAGTAAAGCAAAACTCAAAATTACTTTAGGGAGTACGGTTTATCCCTATAATTCTTACAAATCACTATTTGATGTTTGATGTGAGAATACTGTTGTAATGCCCCATCTTCATGTTTGATGTGAGAATACTGTTGCAATGCTCCATCTTCATGTTTGATGTGAGAATACTGTTGCAATGCCCCATCTTTATGTTTGATGTGAGAATACTGTTGCAATGCCCCATCTTCATGTTTGATTCTCATAATCACAACTTCACCAGGTTGTTTGTACTTTTCTAATTTGAAACTGTTAGATTCTGAAGAGTTCCCCATAATGGACCTTTTTTATTGTTTCACTCGAGAAATCAGCGACCTCAGACCGCTGAAACTTTACCAGTATTTGGCTTTACTTCTTCTATAAAATAAAGCAGAAAACTGTGCACGAGGACTTTTACAGCCAAAAACAGATTGTTTTGTTTGTTTGTTTAAGCGCAAAGATGCACAAAGGGCTGTTAGTGCTGTGCCTACTGCGGATTCTATTCTAAGAATTATAAATAAAAGTATGATAGTAATTATATTAATATCCCTCTATACTTAGCAATATCCAAGTCTTTCCCAGTAAAACTTTTTAAATATTTAAAATTCTTTGATTATTTTGTTTAAACAAAAATCTTATGACTTAGCCTTACATTCTAGGGCCTATATTGTTCTCATTTCCTGATTAATGCTTCTTTCATAACTCAATATTTCTTGGCTTCTCTAAGTTCGCCGTTGATTATTTGCATTTCAAAAGGATTTCCTGCTGTCTACTTAACACAATGGTCCCCAGGTGGGCCGAAGGTTATTTTATGGACTTGCAAAGCTAAAATCCGGGATTCGATTCTCTGCGGTAGACACAGCAGGTATCCCGATGTGGCTTTGCTCTAAAACAAACAAACAAACATAGCTAGCCCCCAGTGGCACAGCGGTATGTCCGCGGAGTTACAACGCTAGAAACCGGGTTTCGATACCCGTGGTGGGCAGAGCACAAATAACCCATTGTGTACTATTGTGCTTAATTACAAAAAAACATAGCTTGTTATGCCTGAAGATGTACTGAAGTTCTTTGTTTCACATCTAGGATAACACAGTATTAAATCAGTAATTCTGATTTTGAATAAGAATTAAATATACTGTGATCACACATGACGATATTATGTTGAAAAGATGTTTCGACATATGAAATAAGCATGTTTTAAAACATTTATTACCATAGTTGTTTTATCAGTGAGTACGATAAAAATAAGAGGAAAAAAAACGATAAATAATGCTTTTGAGCGCCACATGTATAAAAGAAAAGAACTTAAAATATTTTGGAGTTTCTAAAGTTAATTTTAATAACTTAAGTGGTGTTCATACTTTACTTACTGCCAAGTTAATAAATTTCAACTGATTAAACCGGGAATCAGAGCGATACGGTTGACTCTAGTGAGTAAAACTTGCCAAAGGTTTTGTACGACTTCCTAGTTCTTTTGAACAAGGAGGTATTACAGAATTCTAACTAGTGAAGCAAAGCAACATGCAATATTGATCGTGACTTTCGTAATATGGTTGGTTGGTTTAAAGTAAATTAATCCAAGTACTTTCACTCGTGTATTCAAACGTCCTTATTAGAACGTTCGTGATAGAGCCACTATCTAGAAATTTTATGTTTTTGAAATTTCCCACAGATTGTAATTAAGACGTGGTTATTATAAGTGAGGAAATCATTTCCATAAACAGTCATTAGAAATGTAATATTTTTGCTAATAATTAGGAATATAAGTTATTTTGAGTTTTATGTATGTTTTTGAAGTACGTGGCTTCCTTATGTTAACCCTCATCAAATAATAACTAGAATATGACAATGTTAACTACCGGTTAAAATCAAGTCATATATGTATAAATTCGATGACGGGGAACCCCAATTTGAGACAAATAATGGCTGGAGACGGCTTGAATGGGTAATGAAGAAAAACTTTAATATAAGTTTAACATAACAGCAAATGTACAACGTTTCGACAAGGTTTTGTCATCATCAGTCTCCAACCATCATATATGTATAGTTATACGCAGTGCAAAATGAACCCAAACCTGTAAAATAATGCGTAGTTAAATAAACCAGAGCTCGAAATTAACGTTAATCACTAGAGAGCCGACGTAAACACCATAAACTGTAAAAAATGACGAAGGAGCCGACTCTTCGTGTTCATCACAGTATCATATAGAAGTCAAAGGACAGTCTAATGAAATACAGCTTACTAAATGAACAGGTTGCAAATCACCCAAATTTTTATATATGTATTTCTAGAAGAAGACGTTTCGAGTTAGCGCTCTTTGTCAGATCATAAATCTTAGACCAAAAGCACATACACAAAGTTTTAGAAATGCGTGCGCAAAATTTTGAACTTTGAGTTGCAAAATCTTTTGAAATCACATCGTTTAGATCTATATTACACAGGTCGTGAATTAAAATGGAAAAAATAAAATACAAATTAAAATCACGGAAAAGGTGAAATTCTATAAGAAAGGAAAATATTAATTTAAATTAAAAGGCTCTGAAATCCACAGTTTGTAGACTAATTTTTTTTATAGTCTCATTTTGTGTTTGTTGAAAAGTCCTTGACTGTATGTTTGTTGTTGGTGAAATGTTTTCCTGTAGGTATATCGTGTTTCTACAGTTTTATAACAGTTCTGTGCTCCGGTGTTCATTCACCGAGTCGGCGTCTTGTTTGTCAACTGTATAAATTGTCATACTTTTTAAATACTATACATTAAAGGATATATTCAGTTGCGCATGTAATGAATTGTCTTATGTTCAAAAATAAGATGGGCGCCACCAGGTACATCTGCCAGAGAATATTTGATAATGCATCGGCATCTAAGGTGTCTCAACAGTGGTAAACGGCATCGAGACTGAAAAAAGAAATCAAAAACAGGATCATAACCTAGTAATATAGAGAAAAAACTTAAAAGAACATGTACGTGAAAAGCGACAAGAAAATAACCAATAATTTCAAAATCCTGTAAAGATTCCAACAAGAATCACATTTCAGACGAAAAATTATTATATTTTTATTGTTATCTTATGTACCATAGTAAAGTTCACTCTTGAAGATAGCTTAATTATTGCTTAGTGAACTCGGAGCTTTTGAAGTACAGAACACACTGAACATATGTCACATATGTAAGTTTACAGACTTACAACGCTAAAATCCGGACTCTTTTTTTTTCCCCCCATGGTGGATACAACAGATAGCCTAATATGGCTTTGCTCTGAAACAAACACACAATTGATTGCTCTTATTACGCTTGAAGAACTCGACACTGAAATTAGTGCTGGGTTTGTGTAGCAAATGCTGTATCAAGGATAGCCAAGGATTAAGAAACGTACTGCACTTTATTATGAGAGTTAATCGTATAACACAATTTTTAACGGTTAATGACTCGGGAAGGTAAACTAAATCCTTTAGTTTTACTTCTTTTTTATCTAAAAAAAAGTACATTAACCCTAAGTCAAACTTTATGTTTCTTTTTTCTGAGGGCCGAACGGTGCT